ACCCTAAGATACCATCTCACTCCAGTAAGATTGGCAGCCATTAGGAAGTCAAACAACAACAAGTGCTGGTGAGGATGTGGGGAAAAGGGTACACTACATTGCTGGTGGGACTGCAAATTGGTGAGGCCAATTTGGAAAGCAGTATGGAGATTCCTGGGAAAGCTGGGAATGGAACCACCATTTGACCCAGCTGTTCCCCTTCTCGGACTATTCCCCAAAGACCTTAAAAAAGTGTATTATAGGGATACAGCTACATCGATGTTCATAGCAGCACAATTCACGATAGCTAGACTGTGGAACCAACCTAGATGCCCTTCAATAGATGAATGGATAAAAAAAAATGTGGCATTTATACACAATGGAGTATTACTCAGCAACATAAAATGACAAAATCATGGCATTTGCAGGGAAATGGATGGCACTAGAGCAGATTATGCTAAGTGAAGCTAGCCAATCCCTAAAAAACAAATGCCAAAAGTCTCTTTTGATATAAAGAGAGCAACTAAGAACAAAACAGGAAGGAAGAGCATGAGGAAAAGATTACCATTAAACAGGGATTAGAGGTGGAAGGGAAAGGGAAAGAGAAGGGAAATTGCATAGAAATGGAAGGAGACCCTCATTGTTATACAAAATTACATATAAGAGGTTGTGAGGGGAATGAGAAAATAAACAAGGAGAGAAATGAATTATAGTAGATGGGGTAGAGAGAGAAGATGGGAGGGGAGGGAGGATAGTAGGGGATAGGAAAGGTAGCAGAATACAACAGTTACTCATAGGGCATTATGTAAAAATGTGGATGTGTAACCATTGTGATTCTGCAATCTGTATTTGGGGTAAAAATGGGAGTTCATACCCCACTTGAATCTAATATATGAAATATGATATGTCAAGAGCTTTGTAATGTTTTGAACAACTAATAATAATTTTTTAAAAAGGAAAAATATATCTTCTAAAAAAAAAAAAAAGAAAAGAAAATGGAGTCTGGTCTGAGCCTGGGAAACCAGAACAAAACCTGGGATATTGAAATGTTAATGTCCCCAAGGCCAGGGCCCATCCCAAAGAATTGTTAATTGTTAATGAAGTAGCTCCCAGCAAAACTGGGATGTGCAAATCAAATCACCCTAGGGCCTTCCAGCTCAAATCCCTCCCCCATAGCCTCACCAGTCTTCCACCTTTTGTCCTTCCTACCAGCATCCCCCAGCAGTGCCAGGTAGAGGGAGATAAGCAAAATAAAGGACAGGAAGGCAGGAAGACAAAAGAAGGCCTCAGATATAAAGGGGAGAAAACCTCCCCTTCCAGATTCCACCTTTCAGGTCCCCTTCTTCCTGGCCTCACCCGCCCCTTTTCTGCCATCCTTTAATAAAGTCTGTTACTTTCCACTCTACACTTGCCCAGGTGTGCTTCTCTGGTATTATACTTCAGCATATGGGAAAGCAAGTACTCATCAAGGTCATAGGCGGTATCAATATTACAATCCATTTGCTTCCTTCTTGCAACTGTCTACTGTGCTCTTTTTCTTTCTCCTATAGATTCTATTAATTACCACATACTAGAAAATTTATATTGTATTGTGCTTTCATGTGTTCATTGTCTATCATTTGTTTCCCTCTCTAGACTCTAAGCTCCATAACCAGAGATCATGTTCTGATCCCTGATATAGTCTCCAGTGCTTTGAACAGTGTGTGGTACATGAAAGACAGTCAGTGTATGTTTGTTGAATGAATAAGTGAATAAATGTCTCGATATTTATCCAGAATGTCCAGTTGCTAATTAACAAAAGTAAAAAGAAGGGCTGGGGATATATAACTCAGTTGGTAGAGTGCTTGCCTTGCATACACATGGCCCTGGGTTCAATCCCCAGCACCACAAAAAAAAAAAAAAAAAAGGAAAAAGAAGGAAAGTCAAGATGAAAAAGGCTGAATTTGTGAGGACAAAAAAAAAAAAAAAAAAAGAATAAGTTGACCTAGCATAGAGCTTGATTTTCATAGCAGCAATGAGAGGGATTATATTTTATCACTGCATTTATGTCTTGGCTCACTCAAAAACTATTTCTACCAGCACTTAAAGATATTTTACAAATAGGCACAAAACTCTACATAAATCAATAAACTTATAAAATAATACATATTTTGTTTAATAAACATGCTTTGAGTATTGTAGAAAATAATAAAATATTTGATTTTTACAAGAAATGCATGTTTTCAATTTGAAATTTTACTTTAACAGCACTTTAACAGCTGTTTTGTTACTGAATTTCAGTGTGTTGTATTTATTTGATGTCCTTCACAAACTATTAATTTAAAGTATTTGAGTTTTGTGATATTTTATGTGTATCCATACATAATAAATTTATTTTTAAATAAGACATCTAAAGAGTTGCTGGTAGAAGTTGTAACATTTTTTTAATGGATGCATAAATATTCCTTTGATTTATGCTATTACCATGGAGACAATTTATGAGTTTTTGACTAGTAAATTTATATATCAATAAAAATAAATGAATAATATTCCTGCCCTTATTGAGTAGACCTTAATAACAATCATTACTATTTGTCAAACATGGAATTTTAATTTTGTGTACAGGGTGGGGGAGAAAAAGACAGAAACACAGAAAAGAGCAGGATGGAAAGAAAAGAAATATCTTATTCTTTAGAAAGTCTATATATGACATATGATAGTGCTAATCTCAAAAGAATATGTCCATAATAAACATTTCTATATGATTCTACTATTACCCTTCAGCATCATCTCTGAGCCTGTTTTAAGAGAATCCATCAAACCAAAGCACCAAAAACACCATCAAAACAAGAGACTACTTTATCTGCCATACCTCGTGCACTATTTTACTACTTACAATAGAGTTATCCATATCACCATTCCATTTTACAGAAGAGGACACTAAGTAGTCCAGAAGTAAGGTTAACAAATCCAGAATTTGACCCTAGGCAGCCTAACTCCAGAGTAAATGCCAGTAAACCAGTACTCTTCTGTTTCTTATGAGACCAAATGTTTATGTGGAACTTAAAATAATAAAAAAAAACACTTTATGCTCAAAGCCATTATATTAAATTGCCCCCCTTCTAACATTTTATAATGATATAGAATATAAAACTATTATTCTTCACTGTTAAGTATAAAAGTATCTACATTTAAATATCTTACCAGTTATCTCCATCATCATAGAAAAGAATGTTGGTGAAAAATGACACCGGTTTAGATGATTTGAAACTGAGGTGGCAAAACAGCTCATTATTAATTCCATTGTTGGATCCTGTGATGATTCTGCCTTTTGGAAACATCACAGAAAGAGGGTGAATCTCATCATTATCAAGAAGCCTTACTGAAGGAATCTGGAAATTTAGAGTTGAACTTCTGTTTAAAATGAAAAAGAAAAAAAAATTAGCTCAAAATACCAGCGAGGAATTTGACTTAAATATATATTGCTTTGTTTTTTAAATCATTCCAAAAAATGAAATGACAAATATTTATATTATATACTTTACTGATATGTAGCATTTTGATTGTTATGTATTTGTATAATTCAATACGGTTTCTTCATTGACTCCCTATAGAAGTTTGTTTTAACATTTCCTTACTTATGGGGGATCTTAATCTTCATTTGCTTTTAATTTATTATACTTAGTATCAGAGAACATAGCCTATAAAATGTTAAGTCTACAATTTTTGAGGCTTACCCTATAACTATAGAATCATACCCTGTCAATTTTTATAAATAGTCCATGTTTGACATAGAAAAATGTATACTATCTAGTTGTAAAGTTTAGTACTTTATACATGGTAAAATAATGAAGCTTGTTAAGTGTCTTGTTCAAATATTTTGCTTCTAGACCCATCAATATTTGAGATATGGTTTGAAATATCCTACAATGATTAAGGTCTATTTAATTTTCACTATTATTTAAACTCAGGGTTTATTTAGACTATTTTAATTATGCATACAATTTTAGAATTCTGATTGCTTCTATGTGAACTGTAACTTTTATAATTCATTAGTGACTTTGATTATATTAAAAATGTGCTTATTAAAGTTCTTTGCATGTGAAATTAATACTGCTTCCCAGATTTATTTTGGTTATGACCTTATATTTTTTCCTTCATTTCCCTATAGTGTTTCTCAACTGAGGGTGGTTTTACTCCCCTTGGGGACACAAAGCAATGAGTTGAGATTTTTTTGCCACAATGTGGGAAAGATGCTATGGAGAAGAGACTAGACATGTTGCTAAGCATTCTATAATGCACAGGATAGGGTTCCATAAAATTAAAAAAGAATTATCCTCCCTTAAATGTCAATAGTTCTGAGGGTGAGAAATTCTGGCTTTATTTTTTTTTCTTTGTCCCTCTGCTTCATCTATACCTCTTTTAATAAGCAGTTGGGTATTTTTCTAATATACTTGAAGATTATCCTTTACTCAGAGTAGTTCATTTACATTTTATTACAGTTTCTCTATTTAGAGATGTTCTACAATTTTTGGTTTAATTTTCTCCTGCTGTTTTTATTATTCTTTTTTCTCCCTTTCATTTTTAAAGTTAACTGAGGTATTGTTCATTAGTTTGTTTCTGTACTGTTTTGTTAGCTATGTACATTCTTAGTATTAGCAGATGCCCTTAAAATTTTATCCTGAAAACTTTTAAATTTCTAAAAGCTTTGTTGGATTAGTTTTTGAACCAATTAATTATTGGAATTTCAGATAATTCCAATACCTAGATTGCTTAGGGATCTAAACCTCATGCTGGTTATTTCTGCTGACTGTAACTTATGGTGTTAGCTATATTGGAAATTTGACCTTTTTGTAAATCCAACAGACTGAATTGTACCACACTGTCTAAATGTGACAGGCAGAAATCTGAGATAATCCCCAAGAGGCCTTCACCTTGGTGTACAAATTTTGTGTAAATTGTACCCCTTGAATGGGTATGTGACCTTTAAATTCGATAGGATATCACTTCTGAGATTAGGTAATATTATATGGCAATAGCAAAGGAAATTTCCAGGTGCAATTAAGGTTCCTAATGATTGACTTTTAGTAAAGCTGACTTAATCAGGTACAATCTTAAAAGGTTTGCAGGTCAGAAACAGAGAAGTCTGATAGATGTCAGACTTTTGTCCTTGGATGAGTTACCTAGTATGCTGTGAGTAATGGCCACATGGCTAGAACTTTAGGTTGAAATTGGAGAGCTGAGTGTCTCCAGTTAAAAAAGGGCACACTAGTCTTAAAAGTACAAGGAAATTAATTCTGCCAACAACCTGATAGCTCAGAGCAAGACTAGATGAGACTGATGATTCGGCCAACAGCTTGATTTCTGCTGATTGACACACTGAATAGAGGAGTCAGCTAAGCCAACCTGGACTCCTAAACTCACAGATAGGGGGAGATAATAAATCCATGTTGTGTGAGATATCAGGTGTTTGGGTTTTTAAATATATTTATTTTGTTTATTTATTTTTAAGTGGTGCTGAGGATCAAACCCAGTGCCTCACATGTGTGAGGTAAGTTCTCTGCCACTGAGCCATAACCCCAGCCCCTCAGGTATTTGTTTTTAAGGCACTAAGTTTGTAGTAATTTGTCACAAAGGAACATAAAACTAATTTACTAGAACTTCAAGCTTGTTATTCCACAAAGAGACATCAACAATTTTTACAAGAAAATATAATGAGTGTTATAGATAACTATAAAGGATTATTTTGTGTTTTTAAATATGAAAGCACAAATATTTTAATACTTCTTTTCAACTATAAAAACAAGTGAAACATTACATATATGTCTTATATAACAGATGCAAATAAAATAGCACATAAAGATCTGATAAATTCACATTAAGAATTTACCTGAAATAGTTCTGGGGTAAAATGTTGATATCCATCCCAGTTGTTACATCCAAAGGAACAGGAGTAAAAAATATAAATGGTGGATCAAACAATAATTTTGGTGATTGTATCTCTCCAGTCAGACATAATACTCTGTAGCAAACTGGATTGTCATTTAAATACATAGGAATATTAACTGTGTATTTTATATGCTCACCTAATTTAAAAAAAATTAAAATTGGATTAGATTTGGTCACAAGCAAAAAAAATTAAATATTGCTAAAACTTACTAAACATTAAAACATACTATGATGCCGACCAGATTGCCCAGAAACTAGATTTTTCCTGCTGAAGAATTTAATGCCTAATGACATATTATTGAAAGAAAAATATTTTAAAGTGTACCTTGTCTAGAAATGGAGGAATCTCCTTAAAGTAACTTTTCTCTATTTGGGGGGAAATAAATATACCTAGAGGAAGCACTGCAACAGGACTTCCTTTTAAAATTGTTTTCTCACTTTACTAAAACTACCCATCCCTTTGCAGGATGAAGATGAGGTCAGACTGCCATAGGAACCTAAGGCACTACTGAGAACAGGATGTGCTGAAATCAAAAGAATGTGCCTTCTCTGAGAGATTTAAGATAGGGAGATGCTGCCATAGTAGATTGGCGAATTTCACCTATTAGGGAAAGACAAGAAAGTCCCCTGTGGCAATTTAATTGAAGGAGAGGCAGTTTGCATTTGAGAACCTGGCTCAAGATAGGAAAATGCAGGTTAGTTCCTGAGGATAGGTTCTATCACAGAAAGTGATCAAGGTCCTTTCACACCTGAATTGCCTATGATGATAGTGTCTCATAGAGAGAAAAAAATTTTATCTGGTGATTGAGAATTCAAGCTTATTACAACCTAAAATTGGGTCACCAGTGTGGCCTTGCAGGATTGGGGCCATTAAGGGTATTGCCAGAGCAAAGGATGAGAATATAATGGACGATGCAGGACCATGTTCAAAAGTGAAATTGTTTGCCAGAAACAGAAACAATGAAGTCACTAAAATCATCAGACCCACTATTTCTCTGTATACTGGATGACTTTACTTAATCAAATAAGACCATTATTTGATCAGTCTATGATCCTCAGAAAAACAGTGGTGTCTGGAGATACAAGGGGAAGATGAATAAGAAAATAATGGGTTTCATACTAATGGTGACAAATGAGTATTAGAAACACTGAGAAAAGTAAAAGGCTGTATTTGTATCTTCAAAAGATAAAATGAGTTATATTGGACTATATGTATTTAAATATTACAACTCTGTAGGGAAAAGTTGATTTAGTGTAATGAATTTAATGTTGCAAATTTTTTAAAAAATATTTCCATTAGTGCTTTATAATTATACATATTAGTGGGGTTCATTGTTACATATTCATATATGCACATAATTTAATTTGTTCTAATTCATTCCTCACTACTTCCACTTCCCTCCATGCCTGTGCTACCTTGATCCCCTTCTTCTAATTTTTTGGACTTCCTTCTATTTATTTATGTCTATATTTTTATAAGTACATTATAATTATACATATAATGGGATTCACTGTGGTATATTCACACATGCACATAGCATAATGTGGTCGATTTTATTACCCAGTTCTTCCTCTTTTCCTTTCTTCCTCCCTCCTTCTCCCCTACTTCTCTACTGATCACCCTTCTATTTTTGTGAGATAAAAAAATGTTCAACGTAATTAATGTTGTTTAATTATTTTTAAGAGAGAAAAAATCAAGTTAATAAATTTCAGAGTCGGGCAAAGCTTTGAGATTTACTGAATTCTGGATTTTGACAAGGCTACATTGAAATATTATGGATTTCATTTTCTAATGAAAAGACAATGGCTGAATGGATCTAAAATTTCCTATAAGAGACTCACTTCACCTTTAAGGGTATACACACAGAATGATAGTAAAAGAACAACAACAAAAAATTTCACATAAATGGAACCAAAAGAGAGCAGAGATGGCTATACTCATAACAGACAAATTATACACCAAGTCAAAAACTCTAAAATAAGATAAAGTCACTACATTAGTAGTGGGATGAATTCATCAATAAGATATAATAACTAAAAATATAGAAACACCCAATATCAGAGCACCTAAATATATAAGCAAATAGTAATATATGTGAAGAGAGAGGCAGATTGCAATGTAATAATTGTGTGGAGAAACTTGACTTCAATATTTCATTTTCAGAATGCAATGATCATCCAGACAGAAGATCAATAAGGAAATACTGGACTAGAACTAAACTTTAGACTAAATGGACCTAATAGCCTATGTGGAATATTTCATCAAATAATAAAAATACATGTCCTTTTCAAGTATACATGAAACATTCTTCAGAATATATGTTAGACCACAAAATAAGTCTTAACAAATTTAGATAGATTGAAATCATCTCAAATGTCCTTTTCAACTAAAATGGTATAAAACTAAAAGTCAACAAAAGGAAGAATTTTGAAAAGTCCTAATATGTAGAAATTAAATCACATGCTTCAAAACAACCAATGGGTCCAAGATGAAAAAAAAAGGGGGGGAATTAAAAAGAAATCTTGAAATGAATTAGAATGGAAATAGAATATATGAAAACTTAAGTAACAGAGCAAAATCAGTTCTAAGAATGAAGTTTATATCAATAAATATGCCAAGAAAGAATAAGTATCTCAAGTTAACAATCTACTGTTACAATTCAAGGAACTAGATAAAGAAGAAAAATCTAAGCCCAAAATTAGAAAATGGAAGAACTAATGTTTCAGAGCAAAAATAAATGAAACAAAGAAGGAAAACAATACAAGAGATTAATGAATCTAAGAGTTGGGTTTTTTTTTAATATGATGCACAAAATTGAAAGACTAATCTAGACTATGTAATTTAACTAGACTAATAAAAAAAGAGAAGATTCAAATAAGTAAATCAGAAATGAAAGAGGAGATAGTACATTAATACTATGGAAGTACAAAGAGTCATCAGATCTTACTATGAACAATTATTGTCAATAAATTGAAAAACCTAGAATAAATGAATCAATTCCTAGAAACCAGGCCTATCAAGACTGAATCATGCAGAAACAGAAAATCTGAACAGACCAAAAATAAATAAGGAGATTGAGTCAATAAAAAAAATTTTCCACTAAAGAAAAGCCCAGAACCTAATAGATTCACTGCTAAATTCTACCAAATATTTAAAGAACATACCAATCCTTCTCAAGATCATCTAAAATAATTGAAGACAAGGGAATACTTTCAAATGTATTTTATGAGACAAGCATTTCTCTGATTCCAAGGTCAGTCAAGGAAACCACAAGTAAACAAGTAAAGAAAACTACAGGTGAATCTGCCTGATAAACAGATACAAAAGTCTTCAGCAAAACACTAGCAAACTGAATGCAACAGCACATTAAAAGGATCATACATCATGACCGAGCAGGATTTTTCCTTGTGATGCAAGCAATATTTCAACATATAAAAATAAAAATATGTGATACATCATGTTAACACAGTGATAAAAAATGTGGAACCATCTCAATGATAGCAGAAACAGCATTTGACAAAATTCAACATTGACTGATTTTAAAAAAACAAATTAGGTATTAAAGGGATGTATCACTGGGCATGGTGACACACACCTATAATTCCAGTGACTCAGAAGGTTGAGACAGCAGGATCACAAGTTCAAGGCTAGACTCTGGAACTTAGTAAGGCTCCAAGCAATTTAGTAAGACCCTGTTTCAAAAGGCAGGATGCAGCTCAGGCAAAGCATCCCTAGGTTCAAGCCCCAGTACTGCTCCCTTCCAAAAAAGGAAGGTATTTAACAAAAGAAAGACCAAATGTGGCAAATCTATAGCTCCTCATATACTAAACTGCATAATTGAAGGATTTAGTATGGAGATTCCTCAGAAAACTTGGAATGGAACCACCATTTGACCTAGCTATCCCATTCCTCAGTTTACATACAAAGGACTTAAAATCAGCATACTACAGTGATGCAGCCACAATGCTTATAGCAGCTCAATTCACAATAGCTAAACTGTGGAAGCAACCTAGATGCGCTTCAATAGATGAACAGATAAAGAAAATGTGGCATATATACACAATGAACTATTACTCTGCCCTAAAGAGGAATGAAATTACAACATTTGCATATTTGCTTGAATCTAGAGGACATTGTTTTAGGTGAAATATTTTATGATTTTGGTCATACAGAATCTAGAAAGTAATATTCAGAGAAGCAGAGAAGATGATGCTCATCAGGGGCTTGCAGGTAGAGAAAATGGGGAGATAATGACCAAAGGGTTTAAACTTTCAATTATAAAATTAACAGATTTGGGGGATTTAATATACAGCATGGGTAATGGTGGCAGTGTCAATCTGTGGTAATAATTGTACAATATATATCAAATCATTTTGTTGAATACCTTGAATGTATATAATGTTTGTCAATTAAGTATCTTAAAAGACAGAAATGAGATAAAAATTACATTAGTATTGGTTATTCAAATAACAAAGAACATACAGTAGATAATCTAAACTTTTTGCAACTGTATTAAATACTTAACATATGAATAATAAATTGAAATTGTATCAAAAATATAGGAGAAAAGTACTTACTTGGACAGAAAGTTATGGTAACATTACACTTTTCATCTGGTTGCAGATGACCAGTCAGTATACTAAACTCAAATGTGCCATTTTTGAAAGGTTTATCATTATCACTAAAATCCAAAGTCCATTGTACATCTTGTTTTGAGATATTATGTAAGAGAAGATCCTGCTCACACATACACAAAAAGTTTTTGGACAAAAATAATAATATGCATTATAAAATTTAGTTCTATTATGATATCAAATGATGGGACTATGCACAAAGTAAAATGATTAAAAATTCTAATCATAGATAAAATGTTTTCAGTGATGTTAGGTAAACAAAGTGTATGAAAATTAGTTCAGAGTGTATTTTAACAACTTATGAAAAGAACACAAAAGATACAGACAGAAATAAAATATATTGAAAAGGTAAAAAACAACTATGCTAGCTAGCAACAAGAAAATCAACAAAAATCCTCATTTACTGATTGTGAGAATGCAAAATGGTACTGCCAGTTTGGAAGACAGCTGGGCCATTTCTTGTGATGTTAACCACACAACTACCATAAAAATCCTTTAATCCCAAGTATAAATATTTACATAAGTGACTTGAAAAATTATGTGTATACAAAAAAACTATGTGAACGTTCACAATAACTTTGTGCATAATCACCAAACACTGGAAGAAAAAATAGAACCAGATTTCCTTCAATTAATGAGTAGATAAGTAAACTGTAATATATTCACAAATGAAAAAAATTCAGTGATAAAAAGGTAAACTATTAATTCATATGAAACGTGAGTAGATATTCAATAAACTTTTATAAGTGAAAAGTGTCAGAGCCAAATAACTACATATTTTATAATTAAATTTATCTGTCATTGTATTAAGTGTGTGTGTATGCACATGCACGTGTGCTTGAAAATGAGATAGTACACATACAAATTTTTCCTGGCTTTATTTGCTTAAAAAGCCTATTATCTGTCACAGATGAGAAGCAACCAGCACATTTAATAACCAGATGTTGGTTTCTAAATATAATTCTACCACGAAAGGTTCTGGGGTGTCTTGGAGAAAATGTTGTTTGTAGAACTGAAGTAAAAGATGAGCCTGGAACATCTGGTAGTGACAGTAATTAAGAAAATGCTTAAAAATTACGATGATGGGAGCATGTCAAAGGGCTGACCTAAAAAAACACCTAATGGCCAAAGCTGGAAAAGTTTTTAGCAACAAAATAAATTACATCATATTGGAGTATAACTAAAAGTATAAAGTAAATGCTATAGGTGAACTCATACTGATATGCTTAGTAATTAATTAAATAAAAGGGGGAGAGAATATTCTTTCTTACAGAAAAACTACAAATAGTATATGCTGGGGCTGGGGTTGTTGTTCAGCAGTAGAGCACTTGCCTAGCACGTGCGAGGCCCTGGATTCAATCCTCAGAACCATATTAAAAATAAATAAATAAAGGTATTTTGTTCTACAACTAAAAAATATTTTTTTTTCAAAAAACAAATAGTGTATGATAATGCTCCTTTTCAAAACCCTCTATTCTTTGTGGACTAAAACTGATCACTCACTTCCATCATTTCCATAGTACAGAGTATGAAAAGGGAAAAATACTAACTTTACAGTGGAGAAACCCAGAAGATATTACTAGTGATGAGTCCTTTTGGTATCATGAACTTCTTTCATATGAATTATAAAAAGTACATTTCACCTTTGTGACATTACCCCAAACCAATGGAAAATATGAACTCAATATAGTCCAGTGAAAACATCAGACACACATGAAGGACCTTCTGAAAAAACTGTTAGATAAATTTTAAAATTCTCAAGGTTGTAAAAATTTATCAAGATTGAGAGCCTGTTGCATATCAGAGGACACTAAATGGAATGTGGTATCCTAGTTTAAACTCTTGAAAAAGTAAAAGTACATTAGTAATCAATTCCAGACAGGACTATTCTTTAGTTAATAACATCATACTAACATTAATTTCTTAGTATGGGAAATGCTTTAGGGAAAAAGAGTGAAGGGTATATACAAATTTTGCACTGTCTTTGTAACATTTTAGTAAGTATGGGAGTTATGGGCATGACTTTCATGTACACTTATCTTTTCAATGCAACGTACCATCAAACTAAAACTATCAATCAGTTTTTAAAATTAATTTTAGTTTTTAAAAATTTGAAAAGTACAAAATAATCCATACAACTGTTACTACAACAAAATATCATTCTTCTTTCTAAAGAATGATTGATTCAAAATATATAAGATAAAATGAACACATTTTAATACCAATGCCTCAAGTATTTAAGCATCTAATTAGTTCTAATATTTGTATATCTTAACCATAACAAAGCAAATTTACGTATTTTCGAGAAACTTTTAATATAGGTTGCTGCAGTCCGGCTGCAGCGACGAGCAACTTGTGTACATTGATACAGCAGGAGTGGGAGCCCTTTATTGTAGGACAGGAGGGGTATATATACATTCCACACAGCTTATCTTAATTAACATAAACTAGATACAGCAGTCAACCAATAAGGAATCTCCACACTTAATGGCTCCCTGGCGTTCCTTCACAAACCACTCCCTTTGGCAAAATGCCAGGCGCCATCTTGACTTGTTTACAGACCCTAACAATAGGTGGGCACAAAAATCATACCAGCCATTTGAATGCCTTATTATAGCATTCTAAAATGAGGAAAAGTTATATCTCTTAATGATTTCTATCTATAGCATGGCAAATAACAACAACAATAAAAGTAGCTACTTCTATTTTCTATAATTATGAGAATGGAACTAATAGTTATCCATAGAGAAACACTTATTACATTGTATATTTAGTATTGTGTTAGTTTTTCTTCATACTTTTATCAAAATGATACATAAATGTACCTTAAAAAGAGCTCAAAAATGCTTATTAAAAGTAGTTGTTCACCTCAGCGCCTTCCCATCAACAGTTCTGCAACTGATTTTAGCCAATGCTGGTTCAAGATTTTATCTAGAACAGCCTTATTCTAAATGTAATGTTGATATAGTTTCTGTTGGGTTTCTATCGCTGCTATAACATGCTGCCCCCAACATAGTGGCTTAAAGAACAGAAAATTTATTATATTACATCCCTGTAGGGTAGAAATTCAACACAATATCACTTAAGTAAGATCCAAGGTATAGGGGTTTTATGTTTGGGATTGGAGTCCCTGATGACTTCATGGCTGTGGCATGCTTGGTGCCTGGGAAAGTTTCTGTGCAAAGGCATAGGATTCCAGGTGCCCCCCATGCTAGACCTTAATCTTAGGCACATAACTCCTGGGAATAAAGGAACTTGCTTCCTTGATAACTACAATGTTTCACCAAGCTCTTGGAGCTGCCCACCTAACAGTAACTTCAGACAATGGACTTTATTGAGAACTGCACAAAGATCCTAACATTGCATTTGTAACTGTGAACTCTAACTTCAGAATAAGCAACCTTACTGATACTCTAAATAATAATGTGGTTACGATACTAATAGCCTAATGTAACCTATTGGTATAAAAAAATGTGGCCACTTGGACAAAGAGCCACTCTGTCACCTTCCCTGCCTCTGCACCTTGTCTCTGTGTCTCTCTTTATTATTATTCCTTATACCAAGGTGTTGGCAGGAACTGTTTTCCTTTCTGAAAGCTCTGGGGAAGAGTCTCTTTTATTGCCTTTTTCAGTTTCTAGAGGCCAGCTGCATTCCTTGGCTGGTGGCCTCCTTCTATCTTCAAAGCCAGCAATACAGCAAATCTTTCTGACCCTTCCTCTGTTGTCACATTCCCCTCTGATACAGTCAGAAAAGGTTCAGTACTTTTAACCATTCAAATGATTAGAATGGAATCGCCAAGATAATCCAAGACAATTTCCACTTCTCAACATCCTTAAAACACATCAGCAAAGCATCTTTTGCAATGTAAGCTAATGTACTTGTGAATTCTGGATATTAGGATTTAATTATGTTTGAGAGCCATTATTCTGTCTGCCATGTGGCTATTTCATGATTTATCAGCTTCAGATTATTGTCTCTTGACTGCCCCAAGAAAGACAAGTATTTAGTCCATTTACACTACATCCAGTCTTCTCCTCACTTCCTATTTTTTTTTGATATTTATATTATTTGAACTCTTCTATTAGTCAACTAATAGTTTTAAGCAATACATTTATATCTCTAGTTCTTTTCCTGTCAACCTTTGATACTATCCTTTAGTTACTTACTGTGTAAAATGAGCTTTACTACTCCTTCCAGGATTTCCCAACTTTTCTGTCCACTTAACTTTCACATAATGTATTGATGCATGCCATTTCACATATGACAAATTATAAATGATAATATTTTAATTCTGTTCCATAAACATATTAAGTTTTCTCTGTATATATTATGTGGTCTGTGCAAATATCATTCATAGGGAATATAAGTAGTATATTAAAGTCACATTTTCTTCCCCCTGGGGCCAGTGTGACTCTTTTGCCTCTTAAAGAGAAGGATGTTGGGATCTAGATCTTTTTTTTCTTACAGAATAAAATTTTAATGATATGAAATAACCTCACATGTAAGAAGGGATTTTCAACATCTGAAATTAAATTCATTTCACTTCACTAAAGTTGCCTTTCTATTGCTACATACAAGAGGTGTTTTGTATGCTCAAAATTCTATGAGAAAAAGTCTTAATGACTTTTTTGTAAACATTTTTCTTAAGTTATATATGGACACAATGATTTTATTTTATTTATTTATTTTTATGTGGTGCTGAGGCTTGAACCCAGTGCCTCACACATGCTAGGTGAGCCCACTACCACTAACCTACAACTCCAGCCCTCTTATTGACTTTTTAGGCCCTAAAAAAATAACATTTTTAAATGCCAAAGATACTGATCTCTAACTATAATTTCATATAGCATTCTGCTATTTTTTACAGATATAACATTAAATATTTTCTCCGTATACCTCTTCAGCACTACAGAAGTTCATAAACGGTAATAGGAATAATAATGTACTAGGAAAAAAGGGTAATTCAAATACAAATGCCTATGACATGTATGTACATGCTCTCCTTTCTTATAGACTCCTATTTTAGAAGAAAGGCAGAGAGATTAAGTAAGCAAAAAGAGTCGATCAATGTAAAAATTATTTTATACCTCAATTTTTCACTTTTATTATTGCTACTTGACAAATTTTCTTATATGTATGGAATATAGTTCACATTAATTTAAATCATAGCTTCCATTTTATTAAGAAAATAATTTAATTTTATTCAAGTATTTTGAATATTCTTATTAAGTATATGCATCTATTTATAAGGTATTTATAAGATACATAGCTTTATATGTGACTATATGCTTTGAAAATTACTTTGACAAATTATACACGCACACACTACACACATATACACACTTTTAAAAAGTGCCAGTATTCTTGCTCCAAATAGCATAAATATTAGGGAAAATATTGCTCATAGGGAATATTTCAAATCATTCAAAATCCATTTAGTAAACTAAAAATCATAATTAAACCATAATTATAAAACAATTATAAACTGTATAAATTCTCTATACATACCTGAGTTTTGTTGACCTTTTTATTAGCCTCCATCTCATGTAAAGGAATGTGAAATACAAACTCAGTACTGGATAAATTCAATGGTGCTTGTAATACTTTGAAAGAAAAGTAAATATTCTGATAAGGTATTAATAGATATAAGCTCATAGGCACTAAGTATATTTATCTACATGAAACACTGAGAAAATAAGGCTTGCTTCTGTGATTACATTTCTAGCTAGGAAATAAAATTATATTTAAAAATATTTCAAAAATATCCTGCTTTTCATACTTACAACATTCAATTTTATGAATTTAATAATCAATTACCATTAAATGTTACCAATGAGATGATAAAAAGTATGCAATATACTTAATATTGAGCTAAGAAAAATGTATAAAGTTAAAATGATACCCATAGTAAAGTTTGATCAATGCCAAAATGAGGAGAAATGAAGAAAAAATTACTGGAATTCAGGACAATATATAGATGGTATATCATATAATATTTCCTAGATAAAACAAGAAAGTTCTAAGAGTAAATGGCTTATTCTATAGAAAATTAGGAATGAGTAGCTATAAAAATACTTAAATGTCTTAGAAGTTATTGTTGCCTGCTAGAAAAACCTATACTTTTTGAAAAATACGGCTGAGGCATTTGAATTTTTAATAGAAACTAAAAGATCTCATAAGAAATTAGGAAAACAAGTGTATGAAATGCATTAATTTATGATCCTGAACATGTATGTATTTCACACATGCTTTAAATTAATGGATATTTTGCAGGGAGCTTAGGATCTGTGGGATAACAGAAATTTGTAGATTGTGGTCACCATTGTATCATACACAATATCTGTCATGAGAAATTATGGAAAAGATAACATTATGACAGATATACAAAAAGTAGTACATATAATATGGCCTTTGTAAATACAAACTGGCAATAGGGGATACCCAGAAAAAAATAGGGTGTTTATATCTTTAAAAAGTGGGCATTGTTTTGGCATGTTACTTCACCAGTTAGAAAGTCTTATTTCATTTAAACAAAGAAGTTATATTCTCCCTAGAATAGATTATTAGAGAATCACATTCTGGAGAAACTGAACCATCAGGTGACTCACCAACTAACACTTCAGACCACCCTACTCCTTCACATTAAAAATGTTCATTGGTATCCTGACTGCTAGATACAGTATTTGGTGCCAAAGCTAGCCTTTTGAGAGTCACTAATAAGCATGAAAGAACAGGTAAAGGTCAACAGAAATAAAAGGAACTACTCTGCTGAGAGCCATTGCCAAGTAGGAATGACGCATGGCATGACCCAGGTCATTTGCAGTGACATTGCATGTAAGGTGACCTTGCTCAAGGACTAGGGCGGATCTGGTTTAGGGCGCTCCTTGGGTTTAGGGCGGTTCCAGGTTTAAGGTGTATCCTGCTGGGAATAGGGCGTATCCTGCTGCCTCCAGGCACCTGGTCCTTGAGTTCCCTGAGTTCTGAGAGTATTTGGGATTCAGAGCCCGGTGGAGAGTGTGGATTTTGCCCAGAACGTGTGTGTAAAGTGCCCGTGACAGAGAATAAAGAGTTGCTGTTTGAATCTACAAGGTGTGTGGTGGCTCGTGATTTTGTGCCCAGCTAGACTGCGGACTACTCAACATGAAAAAAAAAAAGGCATAAAGGAAAACTAAATCCACTAAAAATACAAACAATGTAATCAGCAGAAGAGAATGTCAAAGAAATAATCATAAAATAGTAATAAAAGGAACTGTTTACACACACATACACACACACACACACACACACACCAGCAAGGCAAGGAATGATCCAAAAATATTAAGAACTCTTGATAATTTAAAATTGCTAAAGACCATTAAAAATGGGGACAAACAGAATTTCATATTTCTCAAACCTCTAACATTTAAAACAATGCTAGAAACCAAGGGGGAAAGATAGCTAGATTTAACATCAAATTAATAAAAAGATCTATTGAAAAGATGAATAAAACTAAAGGCAAAAACCAATCTTGAGAAACAGTCACATTAAAAAATGAAAAAGCTAATATAATGAATGAGGAACTCATGATGAGTGATAATCTACCTAATTTAGACAGCAAAAACCAGACAATGTTGATTTTCTTTTTTAAAAGAGATACTTTAAAACACGATTTTTAAAAATGTTAATTTCTTAGGGCTTCCATACCAGCTCTGTACTTCCTAATTAGGGATTTTAAATGAGAGTGAAATAAATTTCTATCATGCACATGCTATTTTAGTGAGGCCTGTCTAATGAAATGCCATGCATAATTATTAACTGATATGATACTCATTCACTATAATTAATGACAATTTAACTCAGTATCAGAACTATAAAAATAAGTATAGGCTTCTTTACTTTCCAGGGGAAAAAACCTTCAAGCTCATATGATAAAAAGCAAAGCCAAAGCTTGCTGAAAGTGTTTGAAGTATACTTCAGTTTTATTCAAGAATATTTGTAAATAGTAAGTAAATATTCAAAAACCTAACTCAAAATTTGATTGTACTTAATAATTGTCTTTAAATGTACCAACTTTTCTAGTAAACTCAATCTTTTGGAATAAAAAACATTTTCTAAAATGAAATTGTCAGTTTTTTTTTCATTTTATTTTCAATTCCTTTTATTTCAATAACTTATAATTTGCCTTAATAAATTTAAATCTTCCCACACAATAAAGTACTAAATCTACTTTTATTCTCTTCTAATTTATTTTAGCAGTTAGTCACTTACCTACAAATATATCTGTGGTTTTAGTTAACATCTAATTCTATGTACTCAAAACTTAAATGACATGCAAGGAAATCATATCATAATCTTACCTTCTCATAAGTCTATTTTTGAAAAATGAATATCACTCTGATTTTTTAAACTTTTAGATGCTTAAGTAAAAATCTTTGTTTTACCCACATCAGTTGCCTATTTCTTATTACATACCAGTTGCTTGAACAGAACATGGTTTGATAAGTGGTGTGGTCTTTGGCAAATCAGAATTTTTCATTGACAAACATTCAGTGTAGAGTTCTGAAGCCTTAAAGGAATTAATATAAATTTGAATGCTGAAGTCATATGTTGCCACCTGAGACAAAAAAGAACAAACATTATACTGTGACTTTTTTTTTTGAAGAATATGTGATATCATTGATTTGGCAACAGTTTATAAGAACAGTTTTCAAATTAAAATTATCTTGTGAAAGTGAAGCCACATTTACTGAAAACAATAAGATTACTTTTTGTGAGGTTAAAATTGTTCTAAAAAATAAAAAATACATAAATATTTAAACAATTCCTATTTATTTTAAGTGAACTAAAAATCCAAATACACAACCTATAGTTATAAAACTATAGGGAGAAATGTAAGAAAACATGATTAATTTTATAATTTAAAACATATGTACTGTTAAAGACATTTATTATGGAAATAAAATTATAAGCCAAAATACAGTTCTCTCTCTCTCTCTCTCTCTCTCTCTCTCTCTCTCTCTCTCTCTCTCACACACACACACACACACACACACACAAAAAAAAAAAACAACAAAACAACTGTATCCAAAACACTATAAAAAGATTCAAAGGTCAACCAAAAAAAAAATGTTCTAGCTAATGAAAACACAGGTGAAAGATTTGAAGACAATTTAGAAAAGAAGATATGCACATAATGACACATTAGCACATGAAACTATGACATTTACTGGTAAACAGATAGAACTGAAAATATCATGCTAAGTGAAATAAGCCAGACTCAGAAATAAAGAGTCTGCCAGGCACAATGGTACATGCCTGTAATTCCAGCGGCTCAGAAGGCTGAAGTAGGAGGATCATGAGTTCAAAGCCAGCCTCAGCAAAAGCGAGGTGGTAAGCAACTCAGTGAGACCCTGTGTCTAAACAAAATACAAAATAGGGCTGGGGATGTGGCTCAGTGGTTGAGTGTCCCTGAGTTCAATCCCCAGTTCCAAAAAAGATAGAAAATAAAGTGTCAAATGTTTTCTCTGATATGCAGAAGCTAGAGAGAAATAAATGGGGGGGGGGAATGGAAGGGTGTTCCATGAAAATAGAAAGGAAATCAGTAGAGGAAGAGGACCAAGGGGAAGGGCAAAGGGACAGGAAAAGGGAAGGAAATGTAAAATGAAATTGACCAAATGATGCTATGTACATATATGAATATATCGTAGTGAATTTCACTTTATTTGTAATTATGAAGCACTGATTGAAAAAATATTAAATACAAGGAAGACCAGAATAGCAAAAGGTAGGTGGTAGGGTAAAGAGGAATTACTCAGGACTGAAATGGAACAAATTATATTCCATGATTATATCAAAATTAAAAATGATATTATGATATAATAATATCAAAATGAATGTATCAAAATTTATATTATGTATGACTATAATACATTAATAAAAACATTCTTAAAAGATGTAACATCATTAGACATTAGGAAAATAAATGCAAATTGAAATCACAAGAAATACCATCTCCCAAGACATTTCGCAGACTATGTATTCAAAATGAGTTCCTTGTGCTTCTCTCAATGTGCTTTTCCAGACCAGATTTTTGTTTTGTTTTGTTTTTAATTACAGCTGAGGCTCAGGCTACACGGTTTTTTGACTTGATAGTTCTTATACAAAGCATTAGTGGCCAGTTTCAAGAACTAATCATACCTTGTCTCTGTTTAATTACTGTCATTTATTTTTCCTTACAAGTATGGGATAAATGACTTATGACCGGTTAAATATTCAAATACATTTCTTGACAAAA